CATTTGGAATGAGTTTTTTTAATTTTGGTAAGAGAAAAAATATAATAATTATGAGTTGGATATAATATTTTATCTTATTAGATTAAAAAGTCTATTTTATTTTATTTTTTTTTACTAAAATAGCCAAAAATTCCAGACTTTTTCTTTCCAAATGAACCCAAAATTAGTTGCAGTTGGTGTGTGGCAGTGTTAAGGTGGGTGTGGAAGTGGGTTTGGTGAGAGAAAAACTAGGGGGAGAGGAAATTGATGCGGTAAAATGGGTTAGGGTGAGGGAATATAGAGAGTATAGAGAGGAGCAAGAAGAATGACAATTAAATGAATCAAACAAAGCAATTAAATCAGCATACAAATACTACATATGAATTTGTGAATATTGAGATCGATTCAGATACGAATTCATCGATAAATCTATGAACATTGATTCCACCATTGTGGTTGATTCTCGAATTACATACACAAAAACACTCTCTTATTGTTTTCTTCCAACTTCTTACCCATGATAACTATATATATATATTATAATTATTATTATAATTAAATTAAAATTACTTTTATAATAGTAGAAAGAGAAAATAGAGTGACTGAATGATCATTATCATTTAATGGGGATTTTCATTGGATAGAAATAGTGAGAGAAGGAAAAATGGTAGAGAGAGAAATAGAAAGAAGAATGATAAACTTCTATAAATTTAGCGATGTGTAAAGGGTAATTTGATCTTAAAATATAGTTTACTCTCTTCATGGGTGTGTGAACCTCATAACCTGTTAATTTAAATGGAAAAATAGACGGTGCACTTTGATTCACAAATCACGTGAGGGTTCTGTGATGATTTTCAAATGTCAAAGGATAATCTACACCCAACCTAAAACATATGGATAAAGTGAAATTTGCCCTTTGAAAATTAAAGTTTCACATTTTGTTTACTTAAGGGAGTTTGGTAAAGTTTACATTTACTGATTTTAGTTTGCAAGAAAAATATTAAATATATTTTAGATTCATTTGTGGTAAATCAAAAAATAACGAATAAGTATGTTTGACAGGTTGGGCAAACATCTAATCAACCTGTCCAACTTGATCACAAATGAGCAATTTTAATATAACGAGTGAACAAATGCAAATCTAACAATTTTAAAGAAGTCAAGTTTCAATTGAATAGCATATATATAAATTTCAATTCGCAAAACCTCACCTGACCATTTGGAATTAAGAATTCTTATAAACACTTGTATATGTGCATAAATAAAGTATTGAAACTTCAAAGTATTCTTTTCACATTTTAGAAAAGCAGAACTTTTACTCCTCATTGTTCAGTTTAAAAAATTAGATTTTTTTTTTCCCCCTCTGAAATTAAGATTTCTTCAATCCACCAACCCGATCCGCATCCTTTGGCCAATCTGTCCCTCTCAGTTGGTCGATTTCGAAACCATAAATCGGATTTTCTCAACCCGAACCTCATTTGGTTAGGTGGTGTATGACTTGCAATCCACCTAAACCTAACATACGAGCACCCCTAATGTTTATTACAATAACGTGTTTTAAAAACTTATTTTGAAAACAAGTGAAACGGATGGCCAGTGGAAGGTAGTTATAGACAATTAGAGATGGTGATCGAAAGTAATTATTGACCACTGAGAAGGGAGTTTTGGACCGGACTGTACGGCCGAGCTACGGTAACGCAGGTTGGTCAAATCTCACGGCGCCGAGCTGTGTTCTCGGTTGGCGTGGCCCCCGGCTTGTCATGTTCCGAGGGAACCGGCCGATCAGGCATGGATTGGGGTCTGGCCGAGCAATGACCTGGAGGGCATTCGGCTGGACGCGAGATGACGTGAAGCAACCGAGCTAAAGGCAGCCCGGGCCAGACTGAAAACAGGCGAGGGCCGGCGTGCCCTACCGGTCAGCCGTAGTGGCCGGACTGCATATGATCTAGGATGAAGAAAGAGCGGGGAAGGGCCGGCACGCTTCATGACCGGTCAGCCAGGATGGACCGGTCACGCGCAGCTCGGTTATGGGAATCCGACTTTCGTTTGTTCCCAAGGGATAGGTTGGCAAGATACAGCTCAGTTGTATGGCTTGTGATGGCAATTCTTCTTAAGAGATAGACCGGTCGTGATACTCCGGTTAAGCATGCCACCTGGGCCAATGGCGTGAGGGAGAGGAAATCTGCTCCAGGCACGCGTCAATACCCTTTGGCGGTTCTGCATATACTGGTTGGAGGACTAGGCCTTTACATGCGTAAGGTGGTGAGAGGCGAACACTGCCACTTGTCCAGGGAAGGACAGCAGAGGTAGTGCGCGCACAATCCTGAGGCTGCATGGCCAGCCTAGAAATAGGCAGGGAAGATGAACGTTAGAGGTAAGCAACTTGCACTATCTGAGACATTCTCTCTCTCTCGAATAGCCTCCTTCTTCCTCAAGTGATCTGACTTGATTGTCGGAGGGTCTATCCGGCACACCACCGCCGGGCAGCTCACCGTTCTCTGTGTTGTCAGGTTAGATGCCGTCACGTGAAGCTTGAACTCCAAGAAGTACGGAAAGCAGAGGAGATTTCGCCCCCGTACAACCACCAAATATGATTGTCACTGATGGGAGGCGGTTAGCGATTGACCAAAAGAGTCTTTTATTTTCTCATCAAAATTCTCTCTCCATATTTTGGTTCATGAGTTGACAATATTACTGATTATTGGCTGTCAAATGCAATTGCCACTGATGGGAGGTGGTTGGTAGTGGAGCAAAGGGGTTGTTTCTCTTATTTTCTCATAAAAATTCTCTCCCTCCATATTTTGGTTCACGAGTTACTCCCTCAAAATAGAACACCAGCACATAAACAATTAGTTTCAACAAGTGAGCCAAAAAGGGTGTTGGTTCTTGTTAGACTCAAATCTAAAATCAAACTAATCTTTGATCAGTTCTAAATTTTTGAACTTGAAATTGAATTAGTTATATATTGAAATTAAACTAACCTAACTCAAGTAAACTTTGATTGAAACTATGTTCACACATTATTATTATTTTTTTCTTTTATATATACACGTTACGAAACAATTTTAGAAAATTTGCTTTTGTAGTGAAATTGTCAAAGTCCAAATTCCACTATAACTAGGGGTGTGCGCGATGCTGTTCGGGTAATTTGAAAATAAAATTACAAACCGAATGGCGGATTGACAAATTGCGGTTTGAACAGTTTCTGACAGATTGACAGATTAAAGAATAGTCTAACTCATTATCATACATTTGTATAATATATAACACTAATTTGTATAATATTTTTTATGAAAAATGTTTGGTAGCTCAAAATTTTGTGGCTCAAATGACTTAAATATGTCAAAATGACGTCGTTTTACACTTATTTACACTCAAAACGACGTCGTTTTGAGTGATTCGAGTCATTTGAGCCACAAAATTTTGAGCTACCTAACATTGTTGATTTTTTATATATATAACACAGTAATTTTACATAATATGTTTCATATGTATAACTACTAATTCGTAATAAATTCTATATCTTAAATCTCTCTCATATTCATTTTTACTTTGATATCTCATTAGAAGTTAAAAATATATATATATTAACTATAGCAGAGCGGTTTCGAAGGTGGATTATAAGTTTTAAAGTTTAAACTGTGGTTAGCGGTTAGCGGAGTGCGAACCAATGTGAATCGGTGCAATTTTAATGGATTAGACGGTATTTTACACAACCCTAACTATAATTATGAAGATATCACTAGAAGAAAAAAATTTATTATTATAATGTTGCATTGTATATTACAATATAAAATAATAAAAAAACATGTGGTAAATTTCCTCCATTAGTATTTGACTTGTTAACAGGAAACTTTAAATTAATTTTTTTTACCCATAATAATAATTCATTATGAAGAATATGATTGACTTTTTTGACAAAAATAAATCATTAGTGACTAAAATGGGTTTTCTGGTGAAAATATATTTGCAATGAACTGGACTACTTTCAATCTCATTTGTATTTTAAGAGATCGACATGATCAATTGAAAAATTATATATAACCTTAGCATTTTCAATTTATTTTTTAACATAATTTGAAACATTGAAACGTAATTTTTAAAATTACATGATAAATACTAATATATTAGTAACAATCTCAAGGAAACTAGCAAAATTTATCCAAAAGTATATATATATACCTATATCATCAAGTTTTCAAGAACCAAACCGACCCAATACCAGTATAAAAAAAAATAATAAGAGAAAAAAAAAAAAAAAAAAAAGAAAAAAAAAAAAAAAAAAAAAAAAAAAAACAGAGAAAGACCCAAAACGGAGTGCTGGAGAGCCTCTCTCTCTCAAAGTAATTTTCGGCATCCCTCCGATGCCTTTCTGATGTGTCTCCGCCGAGCTCCCAAAACACTTTCAAGGTGCAGATCTGGATTGCTTATATCTAGCAAGAGGGGTTCGAGAGTTTCTCCTCTAATTTCAGTATAAATTTTTAAATTTTCAACATCTACAATGTTTCCATCTTCTTTCAATTCTCCTCCCATACATATTGTTGTGAGTACTCTTACTCTTTAACTCTAATTTCTGACAATGACCAAAGTACTATAGCAGCAGCAGCAATGACGTCGATGGCAATGGCAGGTTTGATACAAATCTTACTTTCTAAAACCATATCAGTGAAAAAATCGTTGATTTTTTCTAAGTTGTTTGTTTTCCCTTCCTTTTTTTTTTTTTTCAGCTTTGTTTTTTTGTTGTTTGTTTAGCCTTTTTAAGTTTTGTTATTTTTTATTTTTCCAGATCAGTATGTTGTTTACTTTTATTTTAATATATTTACTTTATATCTTTCTCAAAAAATATTTATAAAACTAGGGGTAGTCATGGTATTGTGTTCAAGCCCATTTTCAAGTAACAAACCCAGCCAAGCCTTAAAAATATCATAATGGGTTTGGCATGCCACACCCAATCAATATGTTTTTTTGGGTTGTTTGCCTACCTGGAAAAACTGTGTCATCAAACATGGACATCAGAGGACTCAAACAAGAAACAACTTCACCACATCTCAATTTCAGAATCCAAGAAATGCAAGCCGCCCCGTGGCAGGAGAACTTTAGTGCCTCTACAAAATTATCATCTCCACATAAGCAACATTATGACCATTAACGCTAATTAAATGGTTACCAGTGCACAAGCTTAAATTCTTTTGATTCATGCTCGACAGATCTTAAAAAGGATTTCAATTTTCATTTTGCAACAATGAATCAACAAAACATACTCATCCTTTTTCTTTTTCTGATGAGTGATTATCATGAAACTAACTACGACCTGCTGCTACGAAAAGTTGCACTTCGGTTCCCGGTTGCTGGAAAAGCCTGGCGCCTTCTACCCTGCGCAAAATCTCCAGTTCGTTCATCATTACGGGAATGACCAGCAACTGAACTCTTTTTCCTATCCACTTTATCAAGTCTACTATTATTCCTATGACCCTCATCGCCCTCTTCCCCCTTTTTCGCTTTCCGATCTTCCCCAAACCTAAACTCTTTCCTTGCAGCTTCGTAATCAAATGGTTTCAACTGCAAAAACCCACCAGATTCTTTGGACTGCTCTGCTTGCTTGGGTTTACTTGTTTGATTTGTTGACTTGAAACACTCTTGAAAGCTGGAGGATAGATCGCAGAGAGACATGGTCTCATCATCTTCCTCGCCCATTTCAGGATCAGACCCTAGAGTTTTGTCTTCCCTGTCCTCCAACTGTTCGTTTTTTATTTCGCCAGTTATTGCTTCCTCAACATTTTCGTCATCTTCTATCAATATAAAATCATCCAAATTAGAGCTTGAGGGGTGAAGAGCAGAAGGTTCATCATGATTCATACTTGCGTCATTGCCAATCAGTATAACATCATCCGAGTTAGAGCTTTTGGCTTTGACGGAAGAAGGTTCTTCGTGAAGCATACTTTCTGATACTTTAGCAGGCTCTTTTACAACTGGTTGTGACTGCTCTGCACTGGCCACAAATGAATGAAATGGAAGGCTTACTGAAGATTTGATCTGCCCCAACTTGAGCTCTTCCTCTTCCTATGGATAAAAAACAAATTAAGTATTTTTTTAGTAAAAACAAGAGCTACACCTAACAAATAAAACATAAATATAAAGACAATTTTAGAGGTTGCAATTCAACAGGCCTTAATTGGCCACCCATCTGACAAGTCCAAATCAAAAAGTCTGTACTTCTGTAACAATATTGAAGTGGATGAACCTCCAATATTAGCTACAAAAATAAAATAAAACAATCTTCATTGTGGTCAACAGATACAATTCATAATTCATAATAAAGAATTACTATTTGATCAATGAACAGATTAGGGTTTCAGAGAGGTTTGAGAGGGAGAGAACTTGCAACGAATGAACCTCAAACATTAGCTGCACAAAATAAAACCCCATAGTTGTTGGTCAAATATTCAAATTCAAAGTCGAAGCACTATTGCCTATACAATATGCACTGATCACTATGTCTAGACCAAAACATCTCTAATAAAAGCACCAAAAGACAGCAGAAAAAGCAAAGTCAAAGAACTCACCTTTTTATCGGAATCAAACTTCCTCTTTGCTGTAGAATTCCCCAGCATTGCCCCAAAAGCACGGCTTGGCTTCTTTAGCACCTGAACAGTTGCTTGAGCACCCTAAAAAATTAATGGTCCAAAGACTTAGTTTAGTAGTCTCCACTAAACATAAATAAATAACATCATGGGTATGTTTGGTTTGATTTTTGGAGAGTAGTTTTTAAAAATTGTTTTGGGGAGAGTTTAGAAATTTTTTTGGTTTGTTTGGTTGTGTATTTGGAAAGTAGTTTTGGAGTTTGGGAATTTGGAATGATTTGATATTTTGTTATAATTGAGTAAATGTGTGTGAGAGAAAAAGTGATTGAGAAAGAGAGAAGAGAGAGAAAAAGTGATTGATTGATAGGTAAGAGAGAGAGTGATTTTGGAAATTGTTTTGGAAAATTTACAAACCAAACAAATTTTTTAGAAAATTTTTCCCAAAATCACTCTACAAATCCAAACCAAACATACCCCATATCTTTTGAAGTTAATCAACAACTTACTAAATGTGAAGAATTTTCTTGTCCATTTCTGCAAATTCCAGCAGTTCGGCTTCCAAGTTCCAAAGACTCCTTAACATGCACAGAACCTGGGGGGTTTCTAGTCATGCTATCATTTATTGAAATGCCACCACCTATACTTTCTGTCGCTGTTGTGGTTAATCTTGCAGGAGATTCAGGAAGTTGGGTTTCATTTCCATCTGCAGACACCGTGTTTTCTTCAGATGCCTGCATTTTCAAATAGGATACATTCATCAAAACAAAGAATATCAAGGGCTATGTGCCGAATTAAATTAGTATATTATACAATATGCCATATATGTATGTGTGTTTGTGTGTTCAGGACATGTACCGTACTCATAACCAACCTTTGGATACGTATCCCAATACCCAGATTTAGGTTTAGGAATGTTTCACTTGGACATGCACCCACACCTGATATTTGTACCCGAGTCTATGTAACATAGGTTACATTTTATATATTAAGTTTTAGTTCTACTAACTTAAACCCTTTTAACTCAAGTCAAGGTTTTAAATAACAGCGGCGATTACCGTAACGGTAGCGGTAATGCTGATGCGATTGTGGGATGTAATGGCCATAGCGTAACGGTGGCGACAACCGGAGCAGTGCATTTTTTTAATTCTTTGCACAACTTCAGAAAAATATACCGACACGTAGGGGTGTGTGCGTTGCGGGTCGGTGCGGTTTGAGAGAAAAATAAAAACCGTATGGCGGGTGGCGGATTGATAAAAATGTCACTAGAATTTGCCATTTTCCTTATCAAAAACCGGCGATTCGGTTGGCAAATAATGACGGATTTGCCTTGGCGATTCGGGCGGATTGACGGTTTATAAAAAATATAATTCAAATTACAAAACTTAAATCAAAGAGTGAAAAAAAGACGAGAGATACCGTGATATTAAGCATCTTGAAAAGTGAATTGGAATCCAACTTTATTTTGGATTATTGACATCTTGAATTCCCCTCGAGCAGTACTATAACACTGTATTCTAAGGTATAGAACAACAAGCAAACTTAAGTAAAAAAGAATTTTTAGAATCTTATAAAACATGATTTAATAGCGGTGCGAGTCGGTGCGGTTTGAAAGAAAAATAGAAACCGGCAGATTGATAAAAGTGTCACTAGAATTTGTCATTTTTCTTACCAAAAACCGGCGGTTCGATTGGCAAATAATAACGAATTTGCCTTAGCGGTGCGGTTTTGGCGGTTTCGGCGGTATTATGCACACCCCTACCGACACGCATGTTTTTATTTCAAAATCACATTTAATGAGGTTTAAAATGATTTTTAGTATTTTTGTTTAGTTTTAAAACATGATCTAATATATATACTAATTTTTATATTAGTTTTAAGTCACTATGGAGAATTTTCCTATTGTCGGATTTATTTAATTTTCTTTACTTCACTAATTATAATTATAGATAACTTTTCCAATTTGTTAAGAAAAAAAATAAAGTACGTTTAATATAAAAAACAATAGTCTCATAAATAGAAATTCAAAATACAAAATGTCAACATAATAATGTGAAAGTACGTTAAATCTATATTTTGTTCAATAAATTTAACATAAGAGAAATACATATAAGTTCATATTCAAATATTATTAAGTAAAAAAGTAATGAAATCTTGTAGAACTTAAAGATTGGACATTCAAAATATGTATAGATAGGATTTTTACTTAAGTTCTATAACTAGAAAACAAAAAGAGAAAATAGCATTATATACAAAATTTATAACAAAAAAAATTAAAAATAGAAGCAGAACGGTCCATAACAGTGCTATAGCGGCAATGTAACAGCTATTGCGGCCTTTACGCAACGGTGGCGACCGTTACAGTCGTGAATTTCTGTCACACCACTATAGTAGCCGTAACGGGTAGTAGTAACAACCACAACCGTTACATAACGGTTGCGGCCGCTTTTTAAAACCTTGACTCGAGTACTTCTCTCCAGATTTCTATTTTAGTTTTAATTCCTTCTCTAGTTTCATCCACTAGAACACTATCATATGCAAATAACATAAACCAAGGGACTACATCCTGAATGTGTTTAGTTAATTCATCCACGATTAAGACATGACAAGACTGAGGCAAATAGTAAAGACTCAAATTTGACCCTTCATACAATCTAACAGTGATAAAAAATAAATAAATAAAATAAATAAGTTTTTCCTGTAGGCGATCCAATTGTAGTCACAATCCCATCGTACATGTCCTTTATCGCATCAATATACCTTTGGTTACACTATTTTTCTCCGAGACCCACCATGTTATATTTCTACTTAATTTTGATATAAATCACAGGATCAAGGTCAATAACTTGGCCTAATGAAAAAAGAACTCCCCTTTTAGTTAGTTTATTCCCTAATGAACTAGTTCATTAGAAAATTGATTGATTTCCATTTCAATATAATATATCCTATCTTAAACATTTTCTAAATCTATCAAAACCATACAAATATCACCCTTCTCTATGTCCTTTATTAATTTTCTTAGTAACATTGATTCCATAGTTGAACTACCAAACATAAATCAAAACTGATTCTCTAAAACTATTGTTAAGCAGGGAGACCTGCACGTACAGTTTTTAGGGAGATTTGGTCGAAAGACCGGCCGGCGCAATCAGCTGAATGTGTAAAGGCCCCTCAACCCCAGTTCATGTTGGAGGAAAGAAAGCCGATATAAAGAGCTCCATATTACTTAATATTTAATTATACTAAGTATAGCCTTGAATAGAGAGCTAAATGGCAGAAAAAGATTCATGTAGCCAACCTTATTTGATAGGACACAAAACTTGGTTTAGTTTGGCTTGGGTTGACTCATCAACTTAATGTCTCCATAATTGTTATACTTTTTAGTATCTTTTATTTTTATATGCAAGTACCAAAATACTTTTCCTCCACTCGCCATGCATATTTCTAATCATAAAATCTTACTAAATAATTTTGTTAACTAAGACAGCCCCTCCCGATGCATTTCTGTGTCTCAATAGGTATACAATTTAGTCCTAATTCCTTGCCTGATGTCATTTTCTTAAGTGCAAAAAATTCATCTCAAACTCTCTTATTCAATGATAAAATTTATATTCTCTAATTCCATGATACCATTGAAGCTACAATATTCCTCTCCTACTAAACATTCTAGATGTTTTTCCAAACTCTCTTATTCAACGATAAAACTTATATTCTCTCGTTCCATAATTCCAGCAGGGCTGATATCGCTCTCCTCCAAAACATTCTAAATGTTTTTCATTTAATAGTTTTTCAAAATAACTTTTTCACCTTTCCATAATCTCCCCGTCATTCACTGACACCTCTGAATCCTCACTTTTAATACACATAGCCTGATTGAAGTCTCTACGCTTCCTTTCTTTCAATGTTTTTCATTATTCTCCATCTTTACTATATAATCTAGTATAAAGATTGATGGGCTTTTATAAGATCCAAGGTTATGAGTTCGAGTGACCCAAAAAGCCACTAGAGGTTTGCCTGGTGGTTAACTTCAAGGCCCTATGATTAGTTGAGGTGCTCGCAAGCTGGCTCGGACACCCAATTATCAAAAAAAAAACAAAAAAAGAAGATTCACAGGCTTTTAATCTAATTTTTTTTTAAACTCCTTATTACCCAACTTTCATCTCTTAAATTATCCTCATTTTTATTCTTTTACCACTTTTTAAAACATTTTCTTTTTGTTTTTACTAATATGTCATTATTCCACCCAGTGTTATTAAAGGCGATAGGCGCACCTAAGGCGCCAAGGTCTCCTAGGGCCTAGGCTCATGGTGCAAGGCGAGGCGCAAGCTTCACCGAAGTGAGGCGCACCTTGTACGGGAAAAAAAAATATATAATTTAATATAAATAAATAATTTAGGGTTCAACATAAACAAAATGAAATATTAAACATTTAGTATTTTTTGGAAATTAGGAAATAGGACTAATTTTTCTTCTATCATTGATTTGGGGTTGAATGCCCAATGTATTGGCATCTGTAACAAGAATAGGAATCTTTTGTAGCTGCACCATATTAGGTCAATGGTCATATTTTAAACAAAACCAATTAAAGCAACAATAAAAAAAAGCCCTCAAGACGCAAGCTTTAGGCCAATCAAGCGCCTTATCACAGTCGTCTGGCCTGGAACACTACAAGGCATAAACCTTGGGCTTGGACGGGACTTGGGCCTAGTGTCACAGACTGACAAATTTTGAAGCTGTCCCTCACTAGAAAGCCCTGGGAGGTTCTGGAGATTGCTAGAAGATTCTATAACTCCCTAGAACCTTGTAGAGAATTGTACATAACTCTAGAAGCTGGTACAGAATACTTGTATATTCTAGAATAATCTATTAGATGTAATAGGAGAAAGTGTCTAGAACACTCTCTATCCTTGTAGTTCTAGAATGTTCATTATAGCCTATAAAAAGGGGAGGGCCTCATTTGCCCAAACCACTCAAGAGTTGTAAAGCATTCCAGCAATACAATACAAGCATTCTCCAAGAGCTCTCTCTCTAAGTTTCTCTTGTGTGTGCAATCTTCTCCTAGCTCTTTTCCACAGAAGGCTTACTTAGGTGCAAGCAAGGCGTGCATAAGCATCTAAGGCCGCAATATTGGCTTGGAAAAACTAAAGCCGTGACAGTTGGTATCAGAGCCAAGTTACGAAGGCGTCGTGACTAAGGAAGGAAGAGCACTATGTCGGAAGTAATTCACACTGAAGAGAACCGCGGAAGGGAGACTACTACAAACTTGGGCAAGAAGGCCAAAGACAAGTCACGTGACATCATGAGTGTCATGGAGACCCGAGTGGTCAAGGTTGAAGTGGCTATGGCCGATGTCAAGAAGCGGTTGGACCGGTTGGAACAAGGGATGGAGCAACTTGACGGCAAGGTGGAAGGCCAAGTCGAGGAATTGCTTGAGTCCGTGTGGGATACCATCCGGACTAACCATGAGACCCACAAGCAAGAAAGCTATGACTTTGAGGAACGGGTCTTAAAGGCTATCTCTCAACTCCAAGACCAAGTCCAAGAGCTGAAGGAAGGCTTGGAGGAGACACGGGCAGACTAAGCTATGTGCAAGCGAGTTGTAGCCAGTGGTGGCATTACCACTAATGCAGGATTCACTCCAAGGCTTGAGGCACCAAAGCCTAAGGAGTTCGATGGCAAAAGGGACGCCAAGGAGCTGGACGACTACATTTGGCACTTAGAGAGGTACTTTGAA